GGTCAAACAATTTCTAAAATATACGTATACTCAATTTAAAGCTAAAGAGGTGATTGAGGCCCCTTATAATAGAAGACACATTGAGTTTAGTTCTAAGTAAAGCCACTTTTTTATGAATAAAAGCTGGATTTAGAAGAATCTGAATAGATAGATGTTGGTATACCTTTCTTTTCGTTTGAATAGGCGAATTGAAAGGATTCATAGCTTGGCCTTATCGGAAGCCGAATGAGGATTGACTTGGAGCTGAGATTGTAGAATTTTGCTCGATACATCCTTGCCGAGCCTATATCCGTCATTTAATGGAAAGCATCAAACCAGAACACAATGCTTTACGATAATTAACTAAAACACAAAGACGAGAAAAGTGGCCGGCTAAAATCCTACCTATTTATTTGAACCTAACTTTTTTAGACTTAATGAAGTATCCCGTGAAGCATGAAGGGAAGGCATAGTATAGGCAACCAAATCAAAGGATACATCCTCAAGTGAATGAAGTCAAGCTTTAATAAATAGGTAGAATTGCAGCCGACCACTTATTTTATCTTCTTGATTTGGTGAATTATCCTAAAGCATGGTGTCCTGCTCTTGTAATGAGGCAGACAAACACTGCAAGGATCTATCGGGGTCAAGGAGCGATGAGTCAGGGACTTATTCGTACATATCTGGTCACAGTTACAAGTCAATTCTCCTTCGGCCTTTGCGGAGAAATAAGCGATACATTTGCTGTTATTCAAGTAGAATAATGTGTATGTAAGACAGACTTGTTTAATTACTTTATATTGGATACTATGTTTAGATCTCAAAGAATAAATGTTGCCATCATAGGTTGCATACGGTGAAAAAAGGCAGAGAGTTTAGCTTTTCTTTAATGCTATGAATAGGCCTCATATTGCATAGTCTTTTCTTCTCAAAGATGTTCTCATCAACAGCACATCCGACAGAAAATGAAACTGAACAGTGAGCTTATCCTTCCGAAATGATGCTAATACGCCGTATTGGCACGAAGCTCAATGTGTCACAGGGCAGATATGCATTTCAAAACAAGTCAGGCCTATCCCATATAACATTTTATATAGAAAGATTGACGGTGAGAAAAGTTGTATTTTTCAATTATACTCAAACACGTTATTCTAATTATCATAAAGAATAGATGACGATACTATCGATAGAGCATGAAAGAGAGATGCAGTCTGCCCTATGATCTAAGGCACCAATCACCATGTACCGTATCTATAACGTGTTGCCAGTTGACATACAATACTCGGGTCCCATTCTCGTTAGAGTTGCATAAAGAGACCTGGGCGAGGTCTAAGCTGAAGTCAACTACAGCTGGAATCTGTCCTGAATCATTCTATTTTTGGCCATCACTTATTTGCATCCTCGTATAAATTTTGGTGCAAATAGACTCCACCAAATTACAGGATTCCAAAAGGGAAGGACCAGGATTGACTGTCCTTATTCAGAGTTTTCTCTGAGGGTGTACATGAGGCATATGCAAATTCGTACAACATCAATAAGTATCATAAGAAAGATAGACAGACAGAAAAATACATACGCACACAGATGAGCAAAATAAAAAAAGTAGATTAGAACAAAATGCCTGTGGTGGTAGTACATTTATTCATTTTGGAGCCTCCTTCAAGATTATATAGCAACACGCATACACAATTTCCTCAAATTTACTTTCACAGGGAAATGAGTGCAATCAGGAGTTTTGTTAGTCATGGTTATTTTTGTAGCTACCACGAACGTTTTAATGAGGTACCATTTTCGTGAGCTATGTAACTTGGCTGATAGCAAATGAGTGATGAATGCTGGATGAGTTGCCTTAAAGCTGTAACTTTAATGAAATTCAGCGGAATTAGGGTCAGGTTGCTGAAAAAATAACTTATTTCCTCCACGGTTCGAGTCTTGCTGGAAGCATTCGTGAGAGGATGAGTCCAATTCGCGTCGTAAGTCCAGGCTGGGTAAGAAGGAACTCAGTAACCATGCAATTTTTAAGGTGATTTAAGGATTGTTAGTTGAGCTTTCCCACAATGAGATGAGAAGACCTCAGTATGCCATTAACTTTCACTGAGCCTTGCCTTCCAAAAAGAATTCAAGAATTACTCATATTCTCTGCATCTTCCTACATCAAAACTGAGTAACGTCATCGAATGCTCTAGCAAATGCATGTTCGCTAAATCCATAATCCTACTATAAGTGTGATTTTGATGAGGTATGGCCTACCTTGAATGCCACATCTGCCCTCTGACCCCATGATTCACGTGGTTGTGTAGTGGATTGGTGACGTCACTATGATACTCACGACTCGGTATCAAAGCCTGTGGGGGTCCTGATGAGACGATAAGGCGAGGTCGAAGATACAGTCCATCCTAGATGAGATAATATTTTGGGAGGCAAGGCTAAGTTAAATTCAATAGAATCCTAAGGTCTATTTATCTTTTTGTGAACAAACGCCACCATTACAGCTTACTTCACTTTAAGCGAACTAGCGAGACTAAGTGTTTATTCAAGAATTATCTGATTATACTGAAAATGAGTGAGGAAGATCTTTTATGATGCAATGGGCAGTAAAATCTTATGCAACGATCAAGACTGTTCTTAAACTTGTATAGTGCAGAATCGTTGTTCGTTCAACAGTTCATTCGCTACTGGTTGAAATCTACTAAATCAGGTTTTTGACAGTCTTGAAGTAGGCAAGGTTAAGTTTACTTCAGTGACATCTTAAGGCCTTCTCATGTGAATTTGGGAAGGATCAACTCTCAGGCCTTAGCTGGGAGGAAGAAGAGGTTGAAGTTTCTATCTTAGTCTCAGTCTCCTTTGCTGTATAAAAGTGGTCTGACCTCATTTTTGCAAGCGAGTGAATAACATTTGTAAATCAAGAGAAGAGGCTCTCAGTGAGTATAGTCTGTTCGAAGAAATAAATACAGCTTTGGTAGTCTGACCTTGGCAGTAGTAGGGAGACGTAAAATCACAACTGCCACAGAAATTCGGCATTATAGCAAAATAGACTAAAAATCCACCAGAGATAGAAATTCACAGATTTCTTAGGGTACACTGGTTGAATGAGAAAGATTAGCTGTGGAGACGATGTCTGATATGCGAAAGCATGGGAATCAGAGCATAGGCGCTCTGCTCGGCGAAGTGACAGTGTATGTATCCCTAAAGGCTGGAGAAATAGAGCCTGGAGTAAAACGTATAGTGTGACTGGAAGCGAGTGAAATCAGTCAACCATAAAAATAAGAAACTAATCCACGGGTCCATGAAGAATATTCGCATAGGAGGTTCGATATGGATCAGCAAATCGAGAGGAGGGGACAAGGCAAACAACGGGTGTAATGATACCACAATAAACTCGCCAAAAAAAGCACACCTCTCGAAAAATGGAATATAAATATGCAGGAAGTCGTAAAAGGGCGGGAATGAGATAAGAAAGTAGAGAGTAGACGGATGAGTCAGGACAGAAAGACGAGTTACAACACAACTGTGGTGCTGAGAGTAGCAAAACTCACTGATGATGCCGAGGAAACGTGTGGGAATGCATCATGTCCGCGGTCAAACGTTAGGAAATACAGAAGTTGTTTGAACTTGACTTCGCAACTTGGTCATATTGGCAGAAAGACCTAGAGGAACGCGTCTTGCCCGGAGTCCATTGTATGCATAATAATTTTCTGAGTCCGTCTGTGGACTTGTTACATTCCCAGACGTTTATTCGGCATCGTTAGTGTCTCTTACCATTCTTAGCACCACACTACAACTCTTCGAAGAGACAAATGAAGTCGATCTTTTGACCAATTGTCTGCTAAGCAGTTCTAATATCTCTCGTTCTATCCTGGACATTTCGCGTATCTCATATCCTCGTATCACTCTTTCAATATCACAATTTCTTAATTCCTTATATAAACCTATTTGATACCTATTCACAAGCACCACTGGTTTTCACATCCTTCCCATTGTGCTATAGCAGAAGACCTTGGGCAAGATGTGTCCAACTAGGTCGCCCTGGCAATACGATCAATTTGCTGAAACTAGGTCAAACCACTTCTCAGGTCTTAAATTAATCTCTTGCTCCCCACGTGTTCGCCATAGCCGAAAGGGGATGTCTCAAGGACTGTATCTTCGCTACACACTGTTCTCTCAAAACCAAAGTCAAGGTAGCTTAGCTCAAGAACCTGCTTGCCCAACAACACTCGCCAAAGCCCTCTTCTTGTTTACACCTCTTTAGCTTACATGCTTCAGCAAGCCAGCCGGCCAGTTCGACGACCTGGACAGACGGTAGACTCGTCTGCACTGTCTGCCTCCTAAACAGATCGGCTTCTGTGCTGGAAGTACACAAAGCCGGCCCATAACACCGATTCCTATTGGTCACAAGGTTGGGCAAAGTGCCCCGCCGGGACAGGAGGGGAAAGAGACGAGAGGCAGTCGGCGGCCAGACACTGGAGGAGTCATGGTTACAGCCTTCCTCGTGTCGTCGTCCGAAGCACGAGTCTACTCTCGCCAGTGCCTCTGAAACCATGACCAACGGTCCAAGAGACGCGGTCACTCGCCAACCCGTCGCCAGGACACCAGAATCCGGCCACCCACTTGGCCCCCTCACCGCCCTGGCTTGCTCCAAAAGCAGGGCCCCGGCCAGACGAGTCAACAGACATCCCGGCAGCAGAACGGCTACAAGGCTGTCTTCACACTCGGCCTCGATCCAACTGGCTGTATTATTATTATTAATATTAGTATTAGTATTAACATTATGATCATTAACTTGCGCCTCCTCTCTCTCATATTCACTTAGTTCCCAAGCGCTCTCTTCACTTTCCTCTTTTTCCTCTTTATCGCAACCGCTGGACACTTCTGTGCCGTCCGGCCGGGCCTTGCGGCATTCTGGCGAAGAAAGACGAAGACAAAGACGGTGAGCCGCCATGGCAACTTGGTGTCTAACCCCCTGAGCCTCGACACTCACTTCATCACTGTCTGACATTAGACCACGATAAAGTCTGTCAGAAAGAAGATCAGCCAAAGCCAAGACTTGATGGCGGACACAACCGGCCGGCGGCAGAGTGGTAGGGTTTCTTTCTTCCCTCTTCAGCTCTTCATCCTCAGTATACTCATCATCATCAGCAGCAGCAGCAGCATCACCAACAACTGGCTGATCTAGGCTTTTGAAGGGCAGCCGATAAAGCATCCTGCCAATGGAGGCTGAAGTGTGCATCTGTAGATGGCGTCCGAGTCTGGCCAATTGGCGGACAGCAGAGTTGAGCAGGTTTTCGGCCAGCTCAGAGACCATTCGTCCGTCAGTTCCCATGGCGACGCTGGCCTCATGGACATCCGCCATGGCCAAGCAGCCGACGCTGCGCAGCTGGTCAAAGGGAAACGAAGGAATATTGCCGGTTCGATTGACAGGTCTACTAAATGGAATTGATGGGTGCGCTGTAGCCAGGCCTGTTGTGTGAAAGGCAAGAGCAGTCAACTCGGTGATTGTGAGCAGAGCCCGTTGAAGGCAGATGCAACAGAAGGAGCTATTTCCATAGCTGCCAGGGGCCGTAGTTTTGACGACGGGATTATGCACTGAAAGTGAGTCTGGAAGGATGTATTGAGTCGTGGCGTCGCATTTGCCAACATAAGACCTGATGATAGCAAAGTGGAGTTTGGGCAAAAAGAAGAAATTATAAACATTCAGACAATCGCAATTTTTGGTGCTAGTTAGAACGTGTTCTCGTAACTGGGTCAATTTGGTTGCTAAGTTGTAACTATGTTCAAAGGATGACACCTCTCACTCAAGCTGCAGACTGCGATGCCTGCGAAGTTTCGTGGAGTGTACCAAGTCGACTGTCCGATGCTGGACATTATCATGACTACTCCGACAAAGTTGCGAAAACATGGCCAAACTAACAATTCACATTGTAGATACGAAGAGAAACTGGGTTTCGATGAATCACCTGGGATAACATTGTTGGGGGAAATTTCATTTCGTATGAAAGTGCGTGTGTGTATGTGTGTGTTTGTGTCTATACGCAATACCGGTCCTAAATCAGAGTTATCAAAAGGTTAAAGTTAGGGTCTAATGACCTCAAAGAAAGTCCTGACCGAGACAGCGTAAGTCCGTCAGCAAGTATGATTGAGATAATGAGATATGAGTTTGTAAGCATGTAAGTCAAGTTACGAAACCACTTATCCTAACCTCTCAGTCTAGAGCTATTAACCTTTAACCCCCCAAGGAAAGGCATGACAGGGGCTGCGTAATCTGGAACGTCTGGCTTGGTTGATGAGCTTAATCTAACATGTTGGACGAGTGTGAGTGAAGTTAGAACCCTCACCGAGCAGACAA